GTGAAATAAATCAGACACTCGTGTTTAAATGTTACATTGTTTCTCTGGTGTGAGAAACTGAAAGGGTAAATAAAGACCAAAATGTAAAACAGATATTGTGAGACAGGAAAAAAAATGTTCAAATGGGAAGGGGAACAAGGAAGCAGGTAGAGAGAAAAGAAGGAAGGGAAAAGAAAAAAGAAAATAGAATGGAAAAAATGGAAATAAAACTTTTGTAAATAAGGAGAAGAGGGGTTAAAGGGAGGGGAATTGGGGGAAAAAGAAGTAAGAAAGGTAAATTTTTGAATAGACTCAGGACATTGAGGTAATCACAGCAGCACAACTAAAAGATACTCATGAAAGGACTTTCTGAACTGCTTCCGAAAGTGGCAAGAATGATGGGATGAATATGTTCAAGGTGAGGGGTATTAATGCCAATGTGTGTTATCCTATGATACATTTTTAAATGAATTTAAACACCTCTCATATTTTTATCATACCTCATAAGATACAGTATGTTAGAAACTGAAAAGTGTTAATTAGAAAAAGCAAAAGGAGCCAGGAGGTATCAGGCACTTTGTAGTCTGACATCAGGGGTCCAGGAGGCCTCATGTATGAGTGAAGACCTGAAGGAGGTGAGGGGTTAAGCTATGTGTTATTTGGAAGAATAGAATTCTGAACAAAAACAAAAAAGGTAACAGCAAGTGCGAAGGCCCTGAAGCAAGAATCCTACCCAGCATATTTTCAAAACCAGCAAGGAAGCTACTGGGGGTGGAGCAAAGTGCACACTGGAAAATGGAAGGAGATGGTTCAGAGATGTAATGACAATGGCGCCATACAGTATAGTTTTTTTGGTCATAACAAGGACGGTAGTTTTCACTCTGAATGAGTGAGAAAGTTTTGAACAGAGAAAGCTATCACCTGATCCACATTTTCATCTGACTGCTCCAGCAGCTGAATTGAAAATGGGTTGGAAACGGCAAGAGCAAACAGAGAGGGCCTTTGCCTATTGCAATACTCCAGGCAAAAGACAGATGGTCGCTTGGACCTGAGGGCAAGTGTTAGAATGGGAAGAAGCGGTCAGATACGCAAAATAGGCAAAAGAAGTTCAAGCCCAGGCATGGTGGCACACACTTGAAATACCAGCCCTTAGGAAACTGAGGCAGGAGAATCACAAGTTTGAGGCCAGCCTGAGCTACACCACAAGACCCTGTCTCAAAAACCTAAATAATAAATAAAGTGTACAATAAAAACATGTTTAAGCATTTTGTTTGTAATTGAGAGAAACTAAAAGAAATTTAAATGTCCAACAATAGAAGACAAGTTCAATATACTACAGTACATCCATTTTTTTTTTACCTAAAACTTCTGTACTAATAGAGAAAATATGTTATTTTTTAAGTTAAAAAGCCAAGTGAGGGGCTGGGGCTAAGCTCAGTGGTAGAATGTGTGCTTAGCATGCATAAAACCTGAGTTCAATCTCACACAACCAAACCAAACTACATAACAACAAAAAGAGCCAAAAGGATAATATTAATTTTTAATGCTACTCTAACAAAAATATGTTTCTGGACCATTAAAATACATCTTGTTCAGTTGGGGACGTGGTTCAGTAGAGCTCCTACCTTGCATGCGTAAGGCCCTGGGTTCAATCCCCAGCACCACACACACACACACACACACACACACACAATGTGTTCACCAATTAAATATGCCAACCTAGAAGCACTGACATTAGAATTTCTGATTTAAAAAAAGAGAGCTATGTGCCAAATAGAAATATACACTTGTATGTGTTAAATTAGTGTACCAATAATAATTCATAACTGGTTAAAACAAAGCATGTGCTTCTCTTCTTTTTAAATTGTTTGGTAGAGCAGATATAGTCTAGGAAATGAAGAAAAAAGATTCTAGGCCAGTACAGTGAAACTTTTAGAGACCAAGTGCCAAACTGCAACCCAAAACCCACTTATTTATCATAAAGTGCCAACACTGCAATTAACCTGCATTAGCATCTTTTGTCTTAAAAGAAAAACACAATAACACTGTGCTAGGCAAATGGTGGTTTTAAGAAACTAAAATTGAGTTTGCTATTACAAAACATCTAAGATCCAAACAGACAGAAAGATTTGTCAAAAAGTGAGACTGAGAAATGAATATGCGATTTTGAATCTACATATTTGACGAAGAACCATTTGGTGGAGGCTGGAAACGGTACATAAAAATTATCTCAATGATCATTAATGAATCATTCTCCATATGCCAGGAACTGTGTCCTGTGTTTTTTCAAGCTTCTAATTTTATATCACATAATCTAATTTCACATACTTGCCCAAGGTCACTAGCTAACATAAACAGGAGAGCTAAAACTGAAACCCATGCTGTTTGATGCCAAAAATTACCCCTTTGGCTGTAACACTCTGTATTAATCAGGGTTGACTAGATTCCTGAGGCTTTTCTTTGGAAACAATAGTGTATCTAGCAGGATTGCATTCAACTGCAAGTAACAAATCCAGATGATGAATGCCCAAACACAAAGGGATTATAATTAGGCTAAAGGTAGGCAGTTTAGGGTGAGTGCCACTCCTCCTTCTCTTTGGTGTGCTGCCTTGTGGCCTAAAAAACTGCTTCCCTTCCAGCCTCAGGGGAATAAGAAAAGGGTTTCAGTCAGCTTCAAAAAAGCCAGACGGTGGTGTTCCTGCCTGTTTTTCATTGGTCAGAATTATGTCACGTGACCTTTGCTTTTCCAGCTCATTAGCCAGAAAGGTGAAAATGTGAGGCATATGGTTGACTCCCTGAAGGAAACCTGGGTTCTTTTAGAAATTAAGAAGGGGCAGTTAGTAAGGTCTACTGCCTAAAGACTGAGAGATTAGAGATGTGGCAAGAGGAGCAGATACTTGAGAAGAATCATGCTTTTTAGGGGCTCTGAGAACACAATGGATGAATTTTGCAACAGAGGAAACAGGGAAATAGTCTTTGTTCCAACAAGTCTTGTGCTCAGCTTCAGTTCTATTAGTATCAGAAAGACTGGATATTGGGAAGCATGAGGTGTCTGTCACATCCCTTCTCTAACCACTGAGACAGGGTTCTCCTAGGGAGGAGTATCCTCCTGTGGAGAAGTTTGAGGGCAGCTGCTGATACAGGCTTTGGGAATAGACGGGGCAGAGTACGTACTTGGGGATACTTGGAGATGTTGGGAACGTTAAAGCGCAAATTCTGCCTCCTGAATCATCCTGGAGAAAAGCATTGAGAGTGTAGGCTGGCTCCTCAGAGTCACCTCATCCCAGCCCTGTCAATATTTTCCCTTCCATAAAGGTAACAGCCCTACGCTGGAGGGCTGGTGAGAGCCTAGTTTGAAGCAATGTCTGTCCAGCTCCTGTGTTTATAGTACACACTCCACAGATGGCTGATCTGATGTTAGGAGTCTGATCTGATCTCCCACCCAGGCTCTAACTCAGCTCCCATCCTCTCCCTTTTTGCAGCGCCGACCATCCTGCCATTGCGCTATGAGAACATGCACCCTGACTCTTTGCCTCACTTGCCCACCGTGGGCGCCGGCGCACCTCACAGCCTGTGAATGCTGCAGTCCTCATGATTCAGCTATCTGCCCTCCTTCAGGATGTCCTTTCTAACCTCCTATTATGGCTTGTGTTTACATGTCTTCCCAAAACCGCTTGTGGTCATAGGTGGGGCTTTTTCAGAGGTGGCTGCATGTAGAGTATGTGATGCTGGGATTGATTCGTGGGCAATGCTAGCATCAAGGGTACTAGGATGTGAGTGCTACCTGCCCTAAGCAGTCTGGATAAAAAGGGGCAGGAAGACCAAGGCATCTACTGAGGCGGATGAAGCACTGCTCAGTTCCCCTAACAAGCCACACGTCTGTCATATTTGACTGCTCCCCTGGGGGCATTAAGGAGTTCCTGGCAAGGTCAATCCTGATTTTCTGGAAGGTTAAAACAAGCCCAACCCATACGTCTTGTTCAAGGTTCTGATTACAGACCAGGAAGAAACTGTGCTGCATTTTAAATGTTTAAACAACTAACAAGCTAGGTGTTCAACAAATATTTGTTGAGTCACAAAAAGAACTCTGGACAAACACACAAAATATCAATGCAATGTGTGTTATTTGCAGATTTTTATTTAAAAAAAGAATTCACAGTGCACCACATGGATTTGCTTAGTGGCATGCAACTTTCAAGTTCGTCCTGTTTATATCCTCAGGGGCCAGCGATATAGGTCGGGAGTGCAGCTGCCGGGCAAGTGCAAGGTCCTGAGTTTAATTCTGTGTACCCAAAACAAAAAAAACCTGTTTATATCCTCACTTACAGAAAATTTATAAAACTGGTTAGGGAATGACAGGCCTTCGTCTTGCCTGCTGGGGACTTGGGGTCTGTGACTGGGTCCCGAAGGCCTTGCTCAAGGAAGGGGATCTCACTTAGCATCTGCACCCCTGGAGACGACCCTTTCCAGCCCCCGGCGTGGCAGCCTGCAGTACCCCTCGCCGCCCCACCATCAGGGGGCGTCCTCGGCCCATCTCCCACCGGGCGCCTAGAAGGGGCGCAGGCTCACAGACTGGCCCGGCGGACACGAGCTTTTCCAGGTCAGGGGCCCCGGCCGGATCGCG